TATTATTATTATTACCTTTATTATTATTATCTATATTGTTTTGGGGGTTTTTTAATACCATTTTTGTTATTATTATCATTATTGTGCTTTACTCTGACTTTGATCATTACAAGACAGTGTATACGGTGCTGCCATGAGCCGTGGGAGAGGAGGGAAAGAAAGGCGAAGACACAGTGAGGTCTTTCAAAAACGTAATGGTTTCAACAGGCAAATTTCTTCGGACACACAATGCGGAAAGAAGCATTTTAAAATATTGTACCAACAGGCAAGTTTGATGGAAAGAGAGGTAGAGGCAGACAGAGAGAGAAGATACTGGACAAGATGACAACATGGCTAGGAGCAGCAAGAACAACAGACACCATTGCTGAAGCGCAAGACAGAGTGAAGTGGAGGTCCATGATCGCCCACGCCAGTCGGCAAGGCACCGGATGAAGAATGGTTTCTTTGAGTCTATAACTGTACGGTTTTCTAAAACATTTTAAAAGACTTGACTAGAAATATGGGTGGTAATCATTAACTTGTCAGCTAACTGGTGTCTGGGTAGCTATGCTCTTAACTGTTGATCACAAGTTGCCTAGAGGTTAAGGTGTTCGCCTCTCATTCAAAGGTCCTGAGTTCGAATCCGGGTAGCCTTTTTACGGCTACTACTTGGCTCCTTCGTACTGTTGTCTTTCTGCCACACCCCTGATCTTCTGGTAGGAAAGATCTACACCAAGCCTTCTCAGACAAGGGTGAAAAATCTTGGTGGTCCCGCGTGCAAGCTGTGCACGTTACGGATCTAAAATTCAAAAGTCTAAAATCGATAAGAGTAGGCTTCAGCCGCCACCTGGGAACATTTTGAATTTCCTAACAACTGAAATTTTGGGCGTGTCTTGCACACTCATATGACCAAAAAATAAATAAATAAATAAATAAATAAATAAAATACAGAGTTTGATTCCAGTCTTTGGAAGTCATTTATCGAATCTATCAACCCTTCAACCAGAGTTTGGCCAAACTCTCAGAGTCGAAGAAGTCTGCCTCCCTAAAAATATAAAAATCGTCGGCGATTCAGCAAAACATTTTACAATGTACTTTTTTCCACCTGAGAATCCTAGGACAAGAAATTAAAGTGTCTCACGGAATAATTATGTTATCTCAACTGATATAATGTGTAGCTGCCTTACGGAATTCCTGCTGCGAATTCAAAACAGATTTCTCTTTTTCCTTTTTTAAAAATAAATTTAAATTATCCTTGTCCCAATCGAATATGGATATTACAATTGAGGTTCTTTTTGTGAAATGTGTTGAACCGAAACCAAACCTGGCTTTCGAGTTCGTTAGCAGTTTGTAAAGTAAGACGAATAACGATATGAAAAAGATGAAAAAAACAAGAATGAAATGCAAATTCTGCACTTGTGAAATTCGAAAAATCGGAGACTATGAGATAGATGAAAGAAGGGAACGTACTCTTAATGTATCATTTAAAAAAGTATTCTATCAAACACGGCTGTCTTAACTGTTCTTATATGTGGCAGAAACACCGAGTTTCAAGGGAAAATTTACCTTGCTGTAGCTCATTAATTTTAATCAGGACGTCGATAAGACTGTGATTGGAGGACATCTATACATACGATTGCCTTTTCACACAACCCAAAGTGGTTTGTGGCAAACGTTTGTCAGTCTGTGCTTTAAAAAATATGCCCTGTCCTGCTCACATCAAATGTCTCCAGCCCACCCTCAGAATTTGTCACAGCTCTTCAAAAACTCTCTTATCACCGCTCAAGCAAGCACTTCACAGAGGACCGCGTAAAGGGCGAGATTTGAATTCTTTTTGAACGTTTAAAGGACAGATTTCACCTTTGAAAAGCTGCGCGAAATTGTAAAGGTTTAACTTTACTTGCAACACTCTAAGATCATTGAAGAGGCGTGACCTCCGAAATTATGGTCCATCTCAGATAGGAAAGGGGCCAAATGGGAAAAAAATCGTATAAAATGTCTTTCGCACGGACAAAACTTCGGATCGAGCTGACACTCGAACCTCCGAACCTCCGAATCTCTGAACCTGCAATAGCTTGATAACGAATCAGGTAACTTAAACACTAGACTATCGACGACATTTTCCACCTTTAAGAAGCTATGGGAGTTCTGTCATGTTGGAAAAAATACATGATTTATAGGGTTATTTTAAATTGTAGTTTAGCATTATCTTTATTGTATTTATTATCTTTATCTTATGCGGACCCCGTGCTCGAGAGGCTACATTGTATGCTAATGTCACAACAAAGCATTTGAAGTTTGTCGTCTCAACAGTTGCTTTTCAACCCATTTGAAGGGGTAATGAGCAAAACTCTCCCCCCC